CTGAAGTGGTTTTCCCGATACAGCTGAGGGACCCCGGGGCCTCACTTCTGCATCCGTGTGACACCTGCCAGCTCTGGCGAGAATCGCACGGGAATGTGCAGAGCCCTGTATAAATGCAGGAGGTGCCTCTCTCGAGACAGCAGCTGTGTGTGTGTGTGGGGGGGGAGGTCCAGCGTCCTTTCTGTGGGATCTGTGGCTCCTGGCTGTGGCATCATGATGGGGCCCCCGATGATGGAGCCTCACGGCTGCTCCACACAGCGGTGGCAGTAACTCTGCCCTCCCCCTCATGACAGCAGAAATTGATGATGAACAAAGTCTGGCGTCCCCTGAATGCCATCATCACCTCACAGGAGATGTGTGCATGCACGCGTGTTAGTATGTGTGTGTGAGCACACAAGTGTGAGCGCAAGTGCACGGGTATGATGGCGTAAGCATGCATGCACGTAAGCTTTGTGCTCAAGTGTCCTAAACCCCATTTCGAAGTAGAATTATTATTATAACCAATGCTAGTTTACAACCGTAGACACCAGTTTTATCTATTAAGTGAACAGTGGGCTTAAGTCACGTTTAAGCTGAATTTCACCTGCCATGCCTGCAGGTGATGGCAAAGCTCTTGGCTGATCCCCAAAGTGTGAGCCCCCAGATGTGAGTAGGAGCCAAGTGGGTGGAGCAAGGGAATAAGGAATGGTGAGTGACAGTCCCCTCCGTTGAGAAGCTCATGCTGCAGCCAGAGAGCTGCATGGGGATGGGAAGGTGGCATTTATGAATAAGGTCAGGACCCGGGGACATGCTGCTCTGGGGCTCCAGCAGGCGTGTGCCGGGGCTGGGTGTCTGTCCTAGGGCAGCAGGCTGGCGCCTCTAGGGCGGGAGCAGAGTTCTGTCCCTGGCAGAACGTGCCGGCTGGGTCCCCGTGCTCCTGATGCTCACAGGGCCTCCCTGAGGCAGGTACTTCCCCGTGGGGAGGTGGGGGGGGGGCACGAAGCAGGGAGAGCAAATGAGAGATCAGAACATCAAAGGAGAATCCTGCATCTTTGCACTGAAACCGTGCTAACGAGGATGGAGCATTTCGGGGAGACACAGGATAAAGTAGAAAATTAACCTCGGCCTGAACTCTGCATTCGGCTTGGAGTCCCATCAAAGCAGGGAGAGACTCCGCGGCTTCACTCACTTTTATGGCCCTTTTTCTATGTTGCACTTCATTCCCCTCTATTAAAGAGCTGTCTCCTCTTTAATCCTGCCTTCTACTGGGATCTTTATGCTTTTCTCTCTCCTCCTTACCCCCCTCCCCCGCCTCCCACCAAGCTTCAAACGAAGAAGACTCACTTGTTTGCCTGAGACTCTCCACTCTTGTCCATTCTGGGACTGAGCTCCCCGTGCCTGCCCACATTTGGTCAAGGCTTTTTGAAGCAATACAGGACACTCTTTCTCTGCAAACATAATCCTCTGGGCTCCAATTAATGTGCCCCCGAGGACACGGGAGTGTCCCTCCACATTCCTAGATCTGGGTGTGTTTTTGGGTCACTCCACACTGAATTTAATTTTTCATCCCTATTTTCTTTCTCAAAGTCCAGTGGCCAGTGCCAGAGAGCTTGTCTCCATCGCTTCTTCTTCCAGGGAGCCGTTGATGGAACACGGCCTTCTCTGGTCTGAATTTCCACTTGCAAGATCTCAAGGTCAACTACATCACTCCGGAATTTCTCTGTTGATGCACGGGCTGCTGCTTTTGCAACAGCAGCACAAAGATCTGGGGAGTCCCAGTTCCCAGGAGCGTCATTCACACTCGGTGCTCCCCATTGCCGCGCCCGCCCCTCTTGGTGGTCGACAGCAGAGGACGCAGTGCCTACTCTTCTGACTTTTCCTGAAACCCCAGCCACAAGTATGTGACAGTGTCCCTCTTCGCCAGATGATGGTCTGTGCCAGGTGCCCAGGAGGGAACACTGTCCAGGTGCTGGAGGTGAGAGGTGCAGGCTGGGAATCAGACACTGCGCACTTGGGCAGAGGGGTTGACCTGTGTCAGGGGACAGTGACCTGCTCCTTTGGGGGCAGCCTGAGAAGGATAGAAGTTGTGACTGAGGGGCGTGGCCAAGCACGGAGGGCAGATTTGAATATTACTCTGGGACTACTTCATCCAATCGTTCCTCTTTATTTAAGAAATATAATTAATCTCATTGGTTAGTAAATTGTTTTTAGTATAAAAAGGAGCTTTTAGGAATACTTTGGAGATACCCCTTTCTACTTTACCTGTCAAGAGTTTGAGGGGCGCCTGGGTGGCTCAGTTGGTTAAACATTAGACTTCAGCTCAGGTCATGATCCTACAGTTTGTGGGTTTGAGCCCCACATCGGGCTCTGTGCTCGGCTCAGAGCCTGGAGCCTGCTTCGGATTCTGTGTCTCTCTCTCTGCCCCTCCCCTGCTTGCACCCTGTCTCTGACTCTCAAAAATAAATAAATGTTGGGGGAAAAAAAAAGATATCCTTAAAAAAAAAAGAGCTTGAGAAGACTATGAAAAATCACCTGAAAATTATCATCAGACCAATCCAGATACCTCTGGAGTTTGACGGTCTAAAACGTCTTCCTCAATGTGTGGAGGAGGCCTGTTCACCTGAGTGTCCTGGCCGTCATCTGTCCTTTCTCTGGCAAAAGCTCGCTGGTTTTACTTGATGCACGCATGCTCCCCACTTCCCATTTCTGAGGCTGGGTGGGGTTCACCCCCAGGTTGGCCCAGAGAATTAAACCAGGGCATCATACCTACCACTAGCCACTGTGATTGTTTCAGGGATGGGCCTGTGCCCCAGTGAGGTCCAATCGGGTGTGTTCTGGAGAACTCTGCTGAATTCAAAAGAGAGCCCTCCTTCCACCTGTGCTCTGAGGATATAAGCCAGGAGCTGCCTGCAGCCTCGCTGTCATCACAAAAATAAGCTGTGCATAAAAATAAAACCAACACAGAAGAAAGTAGAGGCTAGAGTAGAGACAGAATGGACTCTGGTAGCATTAGTTAGACCCTGGTTCCAGCCGTGCCTGAAGCCACTCCTGGCCTTCTAAGCAGCATGAGTCTACCTCCAAGTTTTGCTTGTTTTTAAGCCAGTTGGAACCAGCTTTCCTGTTCTTTGCTTACATCGACCTTTATATTAACTTGAAGGCTAAAAACAGTCTTCAGTAAATGGCTTTTGAACAAACAGGGCTTCAGGCTCCAGGGAGAAGCAATAGTAAATTGTGGGTTTTCCCTTTCCGTGTATCAGAGACTCCTTATGGTCAAGCATATTGGACGCCACGCAGGAGAGGGTGACCGTGGTTTCCATGCGTGGCCGTTGCCACCGTGGCCTTGTGGGTGTCTGTCCTGGTTCCCTTAGAAAGAGCAGAGCTTTGCACAGAATTGGCCCAGAAGTGCTGCATGAGCACATCTCCCGACTGGCCCTGTCCCCGAACCAGAGAATGTGAGACAGTCTCAAGTGTCTGACGGGGTCTCCATTGGCAGCTTGCTCACAGCCAGGCACAGGGATGGCTGTCCTCTAGGTCACGGCCTCCCTCTATTTTCAAAGCCACCATTTCAGCTGGAGGCTTCATCTCTGTTTTAACACAAGAAAACTGGGGCTCAGAGAGGTCCAGTGACTTGTCCACGGTCACCCAGCTAGTTCACACTGCTGTGTGCTAGGGCAGAAACATCTTGTGCCGGCCCCAGATCACCCACCTTGAACCAGATGCCACCAGGCCTGACCCCGGCCCCTCCTTCACCTCTGTTCACCCCTGTCTCCCCCAGGAGCCCGAGCTCTGGTTTCCCCGTGAAGGTCGGGCCCTGTCTCCACGCAGGAGACATCTTCTGATTCCATCCGCATTCTCTTTGCCTCTCAACCTCCCCCTGACTCTCTCCCGAAAGGCCCTGGGCCTCAGCACCCCAGCTGAAGCCGGGCTGACCCCTGTTGACACCACTTCCCCCGCCTTTCAAGAGGGCACTTTGCTGTTTGAGGTCCCTCCCCCGTGGGCCCCAGTGCCCTGAAGGTGAGCCATCGTTCTCCTCCTGCACATCGTCACTTGCAACAGCTGTGCTTCCCCGCCTCCTCCGGGCGCCCACCGGGCCTGCGGGGCCTGCGCGGGAACGGCAGACCCTACCTAGTAAGTGACGTTCCGGAGGCTTCCCCAGCCATCTCTCAGTAGCAGGGCCGTGGTCCTTTCGTGGGTCTGTGCCCCAGGCCACCTTGGGGGAGCGAGTCTCAGACGCAGAGTACTCTCGGCGGAGAAGGCAACGGTCAGGGGGGTCCAGTCGCCAGCCTCTCCAAACCCTGGAAGACGTTTCTGGACTCCCTCCCGCACGCACGTGGGCAGGTGCCAGCTCTGGGCAGGCCCCCACGCTGGTCGGGATCACGGGGCGGGCGTCTAGCTGAGCTCTGCCCCCGCGCGTACCCTGCAGCCTGTTCTCGGCCCAGGGGCCCCCGTGGCCTGTGGACATGTCGAGCCAGGGCTGAGCGCAAGCTTCCCGTGGCGCACGTTATGCGGCACAGGGAGGCCTGGGCCCTCCGCGCTCCTCGGACTTCGGCCGCGCTGCCTCCGGTTCGCGTCCCGCTCCAGCCACACCGGCCCTCGCTGCTCTGCCGACCTGGACCGCTTCCTGCTTCGCGGGCGTGCGCGGCTCACCCCTCGTGTCCGTGGGCGCGGGCACCGAGGAAGCCTCCAGGAATGTTCCCGAAGGAAGGCGAACCCGGAGGGGCGGCACATCCGGCAACGGCAAGGTAGCGGGGTTCACGTACCGGATCGGCAGGCGCTTCCACGCTCAATAGTGTTGCACGAACGGGATAGCAAACGCGCTTTCTAAAGGCAAGGGTGTGCAGACACGCGTGTGTGTGCACGCCCTCAGTGGGGCGGGCCCGGAAGGGATTCAGGGCTCTGCCTCCGGTCTGGCGGAGACAGAGGATCCGGGGACCGAGCAGGCTGGACGCGCGCGCACACACGCGCACACGCACACACACGCACACACACGCGCGCGCGTCCCTGCAGGCCCGGGTGGAAGGTGAGGCGGCCGCAGGGAAGGGAGGCGGCGGGCCGGGGCTACACACTCGCCCTCCGGCCCTGCGCACAGAGGCGCCCGAGCCCCCTGCGCCGCGCCGCGCTGTCTGCGGGCGAGAAGAGCTGGAAGCCACCTCCACGCACGTTGGCGGTAACGGAGGGCACGTGGGGGCAGGGGCCGGGCCGGGGGAGGGCGTGGGGTGGAAGGGGTGCTGGGCCCTGCGCAGCCGACACGCGAGTGAGAGTGAGGGCCTGGCACCGGGCGCCCCACGCGGGGACGGGCCCCTGCCAGCGCGGCCCCGGGCCTGTGCCGGTCCGCGTGCTGGGTGAGAGCTCCTCCCCCCTGCCGGTGCGGCCGGGAAGGCGCCGGCCACGGCCACGGCCACGGCCACGGCCACGGCCACGGCCGCTCTCGTAATCCAGGCCTCTTCGTTAAATGTGTTGGGGTTAGCGCGAGGCCACAGGTCTGAGAGGGCGCGCCCACTTCCCGTTAACGTTCACTGAGGCTCCTGTCTTCATCTGCCGCTGTTAACACCCTAATGAGGGCCAGCGTGGTCACCTCCTCCCTCACATTTGTGGGAGCTTGACTGACTGTGTGTGTGTGTGTGTGTGTGTGTGTGTGTGTGGTGTGGTATAGTGTAGTGTCGTGTGTGGTAGTGTGTGTGGTGTGTGTGTGGTATATCATGTCTGTGTGTGTGGTGTGGTATAGTGTAATGTGTGTGGTAGTGTGTGTGGTATATTATGTGTGCGCATGTGGTGTGTGGAATATTGTACTGTGTGGTAGCACATGTGGTAGATTGTATCTGTGTGAGGTGGTGTGTGTGTTGTGTGTGCTGTGGTACGTGTAGTATATCATGTCTGTGTGTGCTGTGTGTGTGTGTAATGGTGTGTGTGTGGTGTGTGGTATACTGCAGTGTTGTGTGTGGTGGTGTGTATTGTCAGTGTGCCGTGTGCCGTGTATGTGCTCTGGTGTGTGTGTGTGCTGAGGTGCGTGTGGTATGTATGTCCGTGTGTGTTGTGGTGCGTGTTGTGTGTGTACAGGCTCCCACGCGGGACTCCGGACGTGCGGCGTTGCGGCTGATGCAGGACGTGGCCCTGGTCTCACTGAGGCTGCCTCACCCCCAGTCCTCGGTCTTCCCGGAAGGCACCCGGGCTCCAGCAGAGCAGGACTTGGGGGATACGAGCTGTGGGTTCCCAAACCAGTGAATGAACCCAGTAAGAAGGCGAGGCAGCTGGAAACCCGTCAGACAGACCGGTTTTGCCGGGAGCACGTGGGAGCTGCCTGGTGGCGAATGGTCTGGAAGGACGAGCTGTGAGGGCTCATCCAGCCACAGAAGAGAGCGGTTTCCTGACACGGCCACAGCCTCGTAGCAGAAGCCCCCACACCCCCACTTGTCTTCCGCTCCCCTCGAACGGGTCCCTCCGCTTGGTCCCTTAACCGCAGGAGGCCATGCCTCTCTGCCCGGCAAGCGGCCGAATGCCAATACCTGATGCCAATACCTTTTAACACCGGGAGTTACTGAGCATAAGGGCCACATAAACGGAAGATAGTCACAAAATCCTAGGATGTGGAAACTCGGCCAGTTCAGTGGCTCTCAACTGACCAGGCCTGAGAACCTTCTAGAAGGAGTTGTGGCGGCAGAGAAACTTAAGACCCCGGGCATGCTGTGCTCTTGTGAGTTGTCAGCCAGGGCTTCTCTGTCTTTGCCATTTACTCTCGGTGCCTGCGAGCAAAGGGGAGAAGGAAGAGGTGGCGGTCGTGTGGCAGACCAGAGCCGCTTACCTGAGGCCAGAGCAAGTGCTGAGGCTGGCTGCGGAACCAGAGGACCCTCGCACGTGTCCGTGGTAGTAACAGTGACCCTAGGAGGAGGGGACAGGAGGCTCAGTCGCGGTGTCTGCTCTCCCGCTCACCACAAACCAGCCGCCCCGATCACCTGCATGTGTTTGCAGCTACAGGCTTCTCTTTGGCATAAAATATCAAACCGCCAATCTTAATATATTTTTAAAATTTTATTTATTTTAGAGACAGCACAGGAGAAAGGCATAGAGGGAGAGAGAGAGAGACAGAAAGAATCGCCAGCAGGCTCCACGCTCAGCACAGATACCCTTCTTTATTTCCTATTTCCATAGTCTTATACTTGGCCCTTTAATCTATCTGGAATTTATTTTTTGAGGGGTGTGAGGTGGAATCTAACTTTCCCCCATAAACTAAGACCCAATGGTCCTCTGCCACTGCTTGCCCTTTTCTTGTGAGGAGTGGCTACCTGCTATATATGGGACGCCCACGCATGCATGGGGCTCTGCTTTTGTGTTCCACGAGCTGTTCCACTTGTGACAGACCTCCACTTGTCCCCTTGTCCCTTCCTGTGCCAAAACCACACTGTTTTAGTTGCTATTGTCCTGTCATACATTTTGATACCAGGTAGAACAAGGTCTCCTTTTCGATTAAGATTAAATTCACATACCATAGAATTCACCTTTTCAAAGCATACAGTTGGTGCATTAGTACGTTCGCAATGGGCAGTCACTTCCCTGGACCCTCCCTTCCTGTCACAGCGGCTGGCAACCACGAATCTACTTCCTGTCTCTATGGATTTGCTCATTCATTCATTTTGTGCGAGTGGATTGATCCAATATGTGGCCCTTTGGGCCTGGCTTCTTTCACTCAGCACGATGTTTTCAAGGCTCCCTCAGCTGGTAGCATGCGTCATTCCTTTTTATGGCTGAATAATATTACATGGTATGGAAATGCCAAATTTTGTTTATCCATTCATCAATCAATGGGTATTTGGGTTGTTTCCACTTTTCAGCGATTATTAATAGTGCTGCCATGAACATTCGCATACAACTTTATGTGTGGACACACATTTTTGGTTCTCTTGGGTATATACTATGATACATGATTTGCAGATATTTTCTCCCATTTTGTGGGTTGTCTTTTCATTTTCTTGAGCAGGTCTTTTGAAGCACAAAGTTTGATTGTTTTGGTGAGGTCTGTCCTTCCCTTCTTTGGTTGTTTACACTTTCATTGCCATACCGAAGAAACCATGATCGGACCGAGGGTGCTGATGATTTCCACCTATGTTCTCTTTTAGGAGCTCGACAACTTTAGCTGTTGTCTTCACGTGTTTGATCTACTTTGTGGTTTTTTTGTTTTTTAGTTTATTTACTTATTTTGAGAGAGAGCAAGGTAGGGAGGGGCAGAGAGAAAGGGAGAGGGAGAATTCCAAGCAGGCTCTGCACTGTCAGCTTAGAGATTGATGTGGGGATTGAACTTGCGGACTGTCAGGTCATGACCTGAGCTGAAATCAAGAGCCTGATGCTTAACCAGCTGAGCCCCACAGGCTCAGTTTTTTGTGTATGGCTTGAAGTAGGAGTCCAGTTTCATTCTTGGGCGTGTGGAGATCCAGGTGTCCCAGAACCATTTGTTAAAGGGCTGTCCTGCCAACCTTGTTGAGGGCAGCTTTCCTTGGGTTCTGTTCTTCGAATGTTTCTAGGATATTATTGCTGCTTTCTTCTTCCAGGTGAGTTTCAGAATCAAATTTTAAGCTCTGTAATAATCCGTTGAGATTACATTATTAGGATATTAATAATGTGGTTAATAATCCATCGAGATCCATTTTTCCTGTTCATGTACATAGTATGTTTCCATTAATAAGGCTGTTTTAATGTCCTTCAACCTAGTCTTAGATTTTCTTGCGTATTGCTGTTGAAGACTTTTCATTAGGCTTATTCCTAGGTAGTGGGTAGATTTATTGAGATCAAAAATAGGATCTTTTTTCTATCATGTCTTATATACATCTCTTCTATAACATCTTTATGTTATTTTTAATGTGAAGGAAAACTTCAGTTTTTTTTAAATTATCTTGTGTCAGACCATCTTATCAGCTTAGTTTACAGTTTATATAAACTTGTAGCTTATCTTGGATTTTTTATGTTGTTGATGATATTGACTGCAAACAACGAAGGTTCTGTGGCTCTTTTTGGCCCCCGGTCAATGTTGAGGAGTGGGGTGGGGAGGGGTCCAGGGATGAAGGAAGGCGAGGGAGCTACTCACAGAGGGAAAGCACGTGCAAAGGCAGGAGGCAATGGAGGAGGGGCTGGCAGTTCAGGGACAAGGGTTACTTCTCCTGGGCTGGAAGATTCCAGGGCGAGGCTGAGCTCTCGAGTGGCTCGGGAAGGAATGCCCAGGGATGGTGGTGAGGACCATGTGCCCAGCCTGCCGCATCAGGTACCCACCCAGACCTGCTGCCAGCTTGCCTCTTTAGTTATCATGTGAAATAACTGGAAAGGCTCCATGGTCCCCACTCTCTAGATAACTGAACCCGTTACATGCGGGAGGCATGATAGGAATTCTGTAAACACAGTTCTGTGTAACTGGATTATGATGCCCCAAGGCACCAGAGGGATCCTGGTGAGGGGATTTCAGTCCTGGGTGCCCAGGAGGCATGTCAGAGTGGAGAAGACTCAGACGACAAAAGGGCAGCAGATGATGTTCAGTTGAGGTGCCTGGAGCCACCAGAATCTTGGTTTTTGTCTGTTACCCATCATCCATTATAGAACTTTCCTCATTTTGGAGAAATGTGAAATGTTACATTGGCAGCTAAGTATTGGTTAAATAATGAAAAACCAAATAGTGACAATAATCTTAATTGCTGACCTCTGAAATTTCAAACTCACTTGTTCTCAGTCTCCATTTACTTTGTAATAGATTATTTATCAAACATACTTTCAAATTAAACACTCAGAAATATAAGCTCATTAAAGCATGAGCCGAGAACAAATTAGTATAAAATTAATTTCCAGTTCACCAACGAGGTTGAAGTACCGCTGATAGAAGAGGCGGGGGTGGATCCTAGCTCTCAGAAACTGGTCCCAAAACAATCCTGTTTCTCAGTCATTACCAGAGTTAATAACTTACTTCTTGGCGCTAAAACTGCTTTCGATTTACCTTCGGACAGCGCTCAAGCCCACTGCTCACTGCTGACTAATCTAAGAAGTGGTTACCTTCTTCGATTACCAGGCATAACGACTAGCACCCCCAAATTCCAATTTCTCCAGGACAATTATAATTTCACGAGGCCTTAATTTTTTCAGTAGGATTCATTATGTGCAGACAAATGGGATTTCGTCCTTATCACGCAGTCAGTCATGTGGATAAACTCACAACTCGGAGAGACGTGCCCATCCCACCACGTGCCACCTAATTGGCTGTGAATTTGATTACAAAGAGTGGGAGAGAGGTGTCTTCTGCTCTCTGGGGGGTTTTGCCCCCCTCCTGGGGGGGTGGCCAAGGTTGCGGGGGAAGCTATGCCTGCTCAGGTATAGATATGGGGGTGAACATATCTATATCCATATGTATATTCAAGGGCCATGTTGGCTTGCATCGACTGATGCTAAGAGACAGGAATCTGCCTGGCCTTGAGGCCTCGCCAATACTTGGCCGGTCAGATGTGGGTGTGACTGCACCAGGGAGAGACCCAGTAGGTGTCCGCCACGCCCGGGGAGGTCCTGGATCAGTTCTGGAGCCACGGATCCCAACACTTCCCCTTGCAAACGTCCCCAAAGCGTCCCCTTTCAACAGACTCAAGAGTGTCAACCCCTGTCTCTCTTTGTCCCACTCCTGTCTGTAAAGGCGTCACTGAATAAGACATTGTCCCGTTAGCACGTTGTCTCTGGCTGTTCTGCTGATCTGATACATTCTCTTTCCACCAACAAAACATAACACAGAAAACAGTCCCAAACATGCATAACCACAAAATTACATCTTTTCCTTTACAAAACCTCTAACCATGTATTTTATATACTTATTACTTAACCTAATGCGTTTCCCCACTCCAGTAAAATAAATTTTCCTTCTGTTTAATACTATCCATCAAATGTAATGGTGGGTAAGAGGAAGATGGAATAAGAACGCTTGAGCTCGAAAATAGTAGCCCTCAACTCTCTGCCATATGGGAAGTGAAATACAAATTCTGTTATCCAACTCTCAGTGGACCAGAAAGAAAGGAATTTTATCTGCTAAATTGCTAACAAAAATGGCCTGACCTTGTGATTAAAAAGGACTGTGAGCAGACAGTCTGTTAGGGAATATGCTGAGTGAAAATTATTTTCAATGCCTCTTTTCCTCGGGAATTTTATAGTTCCCCCCCCCACACCCCGCACCATATGCAACGTGCCAAACTGTCTTGATTTAGTGTTTGAATCACACAATGTTCTAGTTGGAAGGGAGCTTTGGGACATCTAAGGCCAATCTCCCTCTTTTAGGCAGCCCCTTTCCTGAGCAGATGTAGAAACTGAGGCCCTGACTGGTTAAGTCACTGTCTCAGGCCACAGAGCTGGTCAGTGGCACGACAGGAACTGAGATGTAGGCCTCTTGATTCCAGGCCAGACGGCTTCCCCACCCCGTGTCCTGTCGCCATGAACATGTGCCTTCACGAGTCTTTCTTTCGGAAAGAAAAGCCACCACCTAAACCCCAAAGGTGGATGCAATGCCTTCTCAAGGACAGGAGAGCCCGCTGCAAATGGCGCTCAGGGCATCCTAGGAAAGTGGGGTCCTTTCCAAACCTGCAGACAGGCCTGCAGATGAAAGGGGCACAAGGGTGAGTGGTGTGCATGTGTCCGAGTGGAAGCATGTGCACACGTGTGTGTGTGGGGGGGCATACGTGGGTGTGCACGTGTGTCTGCGTGAGTTGTTGGCTCTCATGCCCGTGGTTGAGGCTTTGTTCTCTTGTGTGGAACATCAGGGCCCCACATACCACATGTCAGGCTGAGACTAAAACAAGGTGATGGTGCATTCAAGCAAAGGAAAAAGTGATTTTGCAGCCCTGTGTGTTTCTCTGGCTGGGCGACACTACCCT